AGGTTGTCGAAAGACGATTGCTTCCTACAAGTATAGAGAGATCCCCTCCATCCAGAAAAGCTGACATTCATGGAAGTGCGCGATCAGATATCCTATGGGATCTTAAATTTCGTGAGTCGCGAACGGGACTGCAACAAAGGCCTTGAGGAAGCCAATGAACAGCAGTCCAGTCTATGCCTTCAGCCCAGTTCCCACGAGCTACCATTAAATTCGACATACACAAAAATAATTTGTGAAATGCACGCTGCGCAACCGTATGCAGGTTAAATGTATTCAACTGGTCCTCCATTAAATCCCCACTAAACTTCAGGTAATTTAATTACCAAGAAAGTCAGGCTGATAGCCCAGTAGGCCTTTGTAATCGTACCAGAAAACCACGTAGAACACAGCCCACTTCCATTAGGGAGGCATAACAACAGTACATCAGCCATTTGAACTGATGTTTCGTTGTCATACAAGCATGATGACCCATGAAATAAAGAATAACAAGACGGAGAGAAGTGAAACTTACAGGAAAACCTTAATGCCCTAAGTAAACATTCAGAGTCAAGGCGTCTACACCGTGTGATAGCAACCTACAGTCTCAAACAGCTGGCTATCGTGCAAACATAAGGCGGCATCAGCGAGACCGCTTCCTTGCGGCTTTCACTGCCCCACGTCATGATCAGCCATTACGTCCCCGATAACTTAGCACCAAACACACTTTAAACAGGCAACCCGACTAAAAGACGGCAGCAGACGCGCTACTGGTGTCGGCTCCGAGCCATGTCCTATAAACTCACAAGGCGAGTCACGTGGAGTTCAACTCGGAAGGCCAGACGGATCGACGGCACCCGTTTTGATCGTCAGTAACTTCATTTTCCGCTGCCAAGTCACATTATGTTCACCTCGAGCCTTGCGCCACCCTACACTTGGCAGACTAAACAACGCCCTCCTAGGTAGGCGATGACCAGGCATACGTAGCATGTACCCAAGCCAACGCAACTTATTCAGTTCTATCTGTTGTTCTAAGGAGCTAGCATGATTATCACAACCTAGCACTCGTCTGCGCACGCCATCGTTGCGGACACGCTGGTGCCATCCGACATCAGTAATGCTTCGCAGACAACGATGATCAAAGTACTGAAGGCGCCTCAGATCTTCAGACCGAAAGGGCCAAGTTTCACTCACACAGAGCAGGATGGCCCTCACTGTGGCCTTGTATACACGGCTTCTCAGACGGAGAGAAACTCCCTTCTGTCGCCAAAGATGCCGCAGGTTCAAGAAGGCAGTCTTGGCTTTTCGAAATGAGGGAACTGACTTCAGTTTTTATGCGCCCATCGTTAATGATGCATCTGCCAAAGTGTGTCAGCTTATACGCCGTAACGGCGCTTCGCTGCCGCGCGACCACCACCAGTCGCGCGCGGGCTGAGTATACCGCGAGAACGCCCACCCCTACGCGGATTCGAACCGGTGACCTTATGGTTGGAAAGCAAACGTGCCGACCACTCGGCCACCGGCCGACACCACCGGCTGCCAAAGTAAGTGAATTGATCAACCACCTCGAGTTCCTCGTTGGTAAGGGTCAAGGGGTCGTCAAGTGGCTGGTGGCGTTGCAGCAACACTGCACTTTGAAGGTGCGAAGCCCACACCAAATAATGGGACCACTCTAGACAGGCTATTCAGGATTGATTGTGCCGCCGCAACATCGTCGAAAAGCAAGAGGATATCGTCCGCATAATCAGGATCAACTAAGCTTTCACCAGACAAGACCTCAACAACTACGTCGTGAGATTGCGTAAGCGAACACTGCATGATGGAATCCCCAACGGAATTGAACAAAAATGGGGAAATCAGACAACCCTGATGAACGTCACTTGTGGCCGGGAAGCTATCCGACGGATCACTGTAGACCCTGACGCAGCCTGTAGTGTTCGAGTATAGAACACACATTTAGAACACGCATTTCGTGGGAAAAATCTACCCGCCCAAGTATTTCGAACAGAATGGATTAATCGACTGAATCGAACGCACTCTTGAAATCGAGGAACACATCTACTATCGGTATGCGGTATGCGTGGCGCTGCTTTAGCACCTACCGCAGAGAATATGTGGTCTATACAGCCACGTCCTGTGCGGAAACCGGTCTGTTCTTCCCTAATCCGAGATTCCCGTTCCACATTGAGGCGACGAACGAGAATTGAGGCCAGTAATTTAGTCACAACTGGCATTAGGCTAATACTCCTGTCTGCGACTGTCCTTGTATATTGCCACTATAATCGATTTGCTCCGGTTAGTCGGGATACTTCCAGATACGTTCGAATAGGGAAGTCAGTACTTCGCAGAGGACCTCACTTTCATCTTTAAATAGTGCACGTGGGAGGGAATCCGGGCCAGCAACACGAAAACACTTGAGGGCTGCGATCGCGTCGAGGATCTCGGCCTCAGATAGAGGCTCTAAACTAACCGTCCATGACTCGTCCTGCATCACCTGAGTAGGAAGAGGTCCGGGAGCAGGGCATCAGCTAAACTCATCTCGAGTGTTCCGTCCAACAACAATACGGCGCTCCCTATTGTGCATCAGTGCCCCGCGCTGTCTGATTGTCTTATGGACGCCTGGTTTCCTGGGACCGGTGGTGCGCACCAGCTGGAAGAGCTTGCGGTAATTTCCTACTGCTTCTAGCTCCTTTATTTCTTGAGCCCTACTGGTCCACCAGGCTTGCTTGTCAGCACACAGGCTCCGCTTTAGTTCGTGCCTAATAGTCCGTCTGGTCACATTGTGCACAGAGCCAGCCGGGAGGTTTCTTCTGGATTCCATCAGGTTCACCGACCTCGGATATTTAGTGACTCGTGCGGTGACGATTGATAATGCCACAAGCAGATGCTCCTGCCTCATGCATGGCGGCTGAGATCCGATTCCACTGAAGCTCAGTGTCATTAGAAGAGAGCGAAAGTTCGGTACACAGTGCGTCTTGATAGGTTTGCCTGACCGAGGGCTGAGACAATTTCTCAGTTGCCAATCGGAGGAGACGCTTGCTGCTCCTGCCGGCAAATTTCAAGGAGAAATGGCAGCATACTAAGACATGATCAGAGTCGACGCATGTATTTCAGTACGAGCGGCAATCCAGCATGGAACCACGCCACCTGTAAGTTATGGCAATGTAGTCAATTTGAGTCCATCGCTGACCAGCTTCAGGTGGACGCCAACTGGCACTTAGGCGCCCACTGTCTGAAAGCAGTGCTGCTAAGAAACAACTGGTGCTTCGAAGGCAGTTGCAGCAGACGCTCGCCGTTGTCAGTCCGTTCGGAGTTAAGCCCACATTTACCAAGCAGCTGAGCTTCTGAAGAGCCCATACGCCCTACTTGTGTGTTCATATCCCCTGCAATTACTATATCTGAACTAGTAGCACTGCGTAGTAGCGCGTTTAGTTTGCGACAGGATGTCTTTTGAAGCATCGGAACTGCATTCCGTGGGAGCATAAG